GTAGATGAACTAAGTGGGTTTATCGAATTACGTGTTCGGAATCAATGGAACGCAGATTGAGTCACCGTTTTTCCTCAGATCACTATATCAGCTGGAGTAAGGTGGGGGTAAGCAGACAAGATATGATACGAATGTTTGAAGACATTGACTGGTTGCTGTAGACAGTGTAGACCCACTGTTTGAGACTTTGGAAACCGATGGTTCAAGATTCATCACAGTCACACAGGTTCATCTAATTTTTATCTTCATGGGAATGTAGGAAATATTACCTCTAGTATCATTTTATCTTTACTTATTGAATTACGTCTTCCCATTTTGTCGTAACTTTACAGCTCCAAATCATTTTTATTGTTTATTGATGCTTGTAATTTCCCATTCCTGCATTGGATCGAATTACTGGATCTCTGTTGTCAGGTAGGCTCCTGTACAGGTGCCTCGATACTGCCTAGATATTCATTATATTATAGTCTATTTGATGAATAGCATTGGGATCCAGGACGTGCGTTTCGTTTTATTTAGGACTCATCAGTTGGTGTACCTGCCTCCTAGTGAGCGGTGTTGTTCCCACTGGGGCCTAGTGAGTAGCGCTTTGGCGTTTAAATTGATGGATACTGGATTCGAATCTCAGTGGGAACAGCATAACTCACTGGGGTGCATGTACATTTAGCTGACGAGCCCCAAATAGAATAAAACGTGCGTCATGGATTCCATTGCTAGCCATCAAACAGACTATAAAACCACTTTTACTTCTGCCTTTTCTCTTTATTTCCTTTGGTTTTGCTGATATGCAATGTGGCAGCATGAACCGATATGCAGTCATGCCTACTTTATTTATGTTTTTGTATCATTGCTCATACTTGATTGAGGTGTTGCGTTATTCCAAATAGGTAACACGATATCTTCATGTTCACGGAGTATGTGACTTGAAGTTATTTATCTTTTTAATCTTTGACAACAATGCGCTAGTTGTATTTGTTATTCTTGTGTTTATTTACATTCATGCATCCCTCACTATTCTACTGTAACGCCTTGCAGCATAACCGATAAATCCAGATGACAGACCTATTATTTTTTTATCATCGGAGTATATATATATATATATATATATATATATATATATATATATATATATATATATATATATATATATGATTTACTTACCAGTTCAGGTTGAAAGATGTAAATATGTAAACATCAAGGTAAAACAGTTGATAATATCTTGAATGTATGATGAATAAGGTAAACGGGAGTATTGTCACTTATATTTGTTAAGTAACTGCTGTAGAAGCAGGTTGTACGAAGCATCAAAGTAGTCTATTTCAAAACATCCACTAGTTTGAACGCTATTTTGTTTTAAATGGTTCATTCTATGAGGATTTTTAGTTGCATATGCTTCTTGCTTTAAGCATGTTACTACATATGGTGTTATTGTCTGACCATTGTCTTTTCTTACTGAAAATTTGCTATATCATACATAAAATTAAGCCTAACGTATGCATAGAATTTGGGAAGTGTGGTAAAGTGTGTTTCCGTACTAGATTAGCCTACCTGATAACGCACACAGTATTGTTATTTTTCCCTTGGGTTCCTAGTGGAACATAGGGCTTCAGTAGCACGCTCCTATTGCACTCTCTTGATGGTGATTGGACCATGTTATTGTTGGTGGTGGTGTTGGTTGGGTATCTTCATCACCTCTGTCTTCTCTGCATTCACTTGAAGTCCCGTCTTCGCTGCCTCTTCTATCAACTTGTAAGTTTTCGCCTGCAGATCTTCAAGTTTGTGTGACATTAGACACTAGTCAACGGCGAAATCCAAATCTTCTAGGTTCTTTTCCGCGGTCCAGCGTATCTTCCTCTTCTCGCTCCTCACAGTTGTCTGCTGCATGATCCAGTCCACTACAATTAGAAGATCATCGGTGATAGTAGATTGCCTTGTTTTACTCCTGTCTTCACTTCAAAAGCATCACTGAACTTCCCATTGTGAATTACTTGGTATGTGGATACTTCATACAGTTGTTGAATGAGATTGATAAAGGTTTGTGGTATTCCGTAGTGTTGAAGCAACTGCCAAATTACTTGTTGGTCGACGCTGTCAAAAGCTTTCTCAAAGTCTATGAAGTTGAGGTAGAGAGTTGACTGCCATTCTATACTCTGTTCTATGATGATGCGAAGCGTTGCAATCTGGTCCGCACATGATTTGTACTTCGTGAATCCAGCCAGCCAGCCTGTTTCGGTGGTAGTTTTGAATCCAGCGCATCCTTTAGTCTCTCTGGGATGATGAGGCTTAATATTTTGTTTGGGGTGGACAGGAGCATGATTCCGCGCCAGTTCTTGCAATGGCTTAGGTTGCCTTTCTTTTGGGAGTTTGATGAGGTAACCCTTCTTCCAATCGATCGGCAGGTACCTTTCCTTCTTTCCTTGCAAACCTTGTGAAGTAGTGGTGTGAGCATGTCCGTTGTTGTCTCTGCGTTTGTTTTCAGTGCTTCTGGCAGGATTCCATCTGGTCCTGCTGCTTCCCTGCATTTCAGTAGCTTTATGGTGCTCAGGACTTCGACTTTTGTTGGAGGATTTGTGTCCACTTGTAGTTCTGTGGCTACAGGTGGTGGTCGATTCAAGAGCTTTTTGAAGTGGTCAGCCCATTGTTTACTTTGTTTCTCTTCTTTCGTAATTAGATTTCCTTCATCATCTTTTATTGGTTTCGTCTATGTTGATCTCTTCCCAGATAGTAACCTAGTTATTTGATACAATGTTATCAGGTCTCTGTCTCTCCTACCTGCAGCCTGCTCTGCGTCACTTGTCAGTGTGTCGTAGAAGTGTCTTTTGTCTTTCCGTGCACTCTTCTTCATTTCTTTGTCCAGTGTAGTGTTTTATACATTTTACTCAGATCCTCTTCTCGTTGTGCATCCTTGCACTGCACTGGTTTATCTTCTGCTTCACCATCCTCCTCTCCCTCCTCTATCAGCTTTCATGTGTCCATCAACATCCATTCCATTCCTTCCTTATCTTCTTTCTTCTTCCTTCCTAATACGGTTATGTAGGTTTCTTTCCACATAGCTTTCAAAGAGTTCGTGCTCATCCACACAGATTTCTTCAGGGTGTTGCTCGATATCTCCCATTTTGTCTTGATGACTGAAGTGAAGATTTTCTGGGTGTTGAACTTGAACTGTGTTCTATCACCAACTTCCTTGAAGGCTTTCAACTTGATTTGGAAGGTTCCTTGCACTAGGTAGTGGTCTGAGCCTACATCTGCTCCTCTTCTTGACCTTGTGTCAAGTAGGCTGCGTCTCCATCTCCACCTTCTTCACATTGAGATAAGGTCGATCTGGTTTTTAGTGTGTCATGGTGTCTGGTGAAATCCATGTCGCTCGCTTTGTGGATATCCTTGTGCCTGAACACACCAAATCGTTGAATGCGCAGAATTCTGCAAACAATTCTCCATTCTCGTTCATCACCTCACCGAGCGCTTCTCGGCCCATGGTTAGTTCTCTTCCTGTGTTGTCTTCTCCCAGTTTTGCACCCATATCACCCCGCCCATTAGAATTTTGATATCGCCAACTGACGTCTTGTCCAGTGTTGATTGCAGTTGTCTGTAGAATTCCTTCTCCTTCTCTTCATCTGCATTATTTGTAGGTGCGTAGCATAGCATTGTATGATTGTGACTTTCCGTCCTTTTGAGTTGAACCTTGCTGTTATGATCCTGCAGGAGGAGATTGGTTCCCACTGCATGACAGCCTCCGATGCTCTTGGGAGTGGGGCATCATGATAGCCACTCGAGAACTGAGTGTGCTTGTGGTTGTCGTGTCGTTTGGGTGACAATATTGGAGTAGATTATTGACTCTGGAGTTGACAGTTTGGAGAGTCCACTTCCATTCCATCTGATTTCACAGATTCCCAGCCTGGCACTTCTATGCTAAACCCTCTCATCTCTTTTGCAATCTGGGCAGCCTTGCTGGTTTTATATACGGTATGATCATTCCGTGTCCTCATTCTTACTTTTGCTTTCATTGAGGGAGGCGAAGACACATCGGCCAATTGGCTTCCTGAAGGCTTTCACCAACCGGTATCATTTTGCCTCTCCGATTCCAGCGAGGAATAATATTGTTTTTGTTTTTTATATTTTGTTTGTGCTTTGAAGTTTGTTTCGCAGTTGGATTGGTTTCACGGTGTAGGGTTGCTAGCCGTATGCCCAACCTTCCCTCATTCTCCTGGCTTAGGACCGGCTAGTAACTAGTGAACTAGTTAACCAGGCGAGGTCATCTGGTCCTGCTGCTTTCTCAGACTTCAGCAACTTTATGGCGTTCAGTATTTCACTTTTGCTTTTGTTGGTGGGCTTATGTTGACTGGTAATTCTGTGGCTGGGCTACTGGTGGTATTTCCGAACGAGTTGCAGGTGGTGGTCGATTCAAGAGTTTTTTGAAGTGGTTAGCCTGTTGTTTTCTTTGTTTCTCCTCTTCGGTAACTAGCTTTCCTTCGCCATCTTTCATTAGTTTCATCTGCGCTGATCTCTTCCCGGATAGTAACCTGGTGATTTGATATAATGTTGTCAGACGTCTGTCTCTCCTACCAGCAGCCTGTTCTGCTTCGCTTGCCAATGTGTGCTTAGAAGTTTCTTAAGCGATTGGATTGGTTTTACGGGTGGGGTTGCTAGCCCTACGCCCAACCTTCCCTCTTTACCCGGGCTTAGGACCGGCTAGTAACTAGTTAGCAAGGCGAGGTTAACGCACACAGTAATATAGTATTATTCACTGAATGACGTTGTGAGTTCAATTTACTGCTTATATTAATTATGATATGAATATGAGCAGTAAATTATCATTCAGTAAATAATACTGTGTCAACGTATGCTTTATAAAATAGACTGGTCGAATACGGAAAATGAGGCCTGAATATGTTTTTTCTGCTTAGATAATCTTGATATATGCGTGAATATCAATGATACTAATGCCTTATCCAATGTTGATAGCTTATCGACTCAATTATTTTGTTTTTTTTTACCAATAGCTGCATTGTCAGTTAACTATGGAGATATTACCGATCGTAAGAAACTTCGTCAACGATTGAATTGTAAAAGTTTTCGTTGGTATCTGGAGAATATATACCCTGAATCACCTTTACCAATTGATGTAGTGCGACTGGGTGAAGTGAGTATCTTTCTAGTGTTTTATTATGCTCAGCGTATAAATTGTTCCCGTTTTTACCAATTACTATATTCATGTTATTTGGTTAAGTTCTCTAAAATATGTTTATCAAAAATACACTCAGTTGTTGCAAAGGAAATAGTTCAAAAATATCCTTGATTCTATCCGCCTCGTATTCAAAACGGTGATGTTACCACTTCTGAGATTAAGTACGCAACTCTCACTAAAGAATAGTTATGTCATTCTATGCTATCATAAATCTACACTTAATTGGGAGGTGTGTTGCGCTTTGTTTGGTGTAATAGAGTTAAACAGAAAACCCTATTGGTTTCTAAATTTTATTGTATTTTACTGATGTATTTCATTGGGATATTACTTTATTGTTGTCTCTGTAATTTTTCTTTGGTGGATTTGAGACTTGAATGCCATTTATTAAAACACTTTTCAACATGTATACTCTAGTGTTAAGTGTGCAAATGGTAATATTGAAGAAGTACAAATTATTGTAACACTCAGCTGTATACTTTATTTCACTCAGATCAATAAGAATTTTGAGTGTCACCATAAAAAAAAAATATGTGGTATTGATGATAATGATATTCTTAATTATACTACCTCAATACCATTAGTGACTGGTGTCTCTAGATACAAGCAATGAAGATGAGCTATGCTGCACTTAGATTGATTTTCCAGTTTTTGTTATTTCTATGAATTATAACTAGATTGGTATACTATTCTATTCGTTTCTGTCACAAGGAAGGTCGTTATAAAATTAGTTTACTTTATAAGTTTTTGCCAAGCAAGATTAGCGAACATTGTGGAATGAATCGGATTCATTCAATGTGATTTAGATCCTCCACATATGTAATAAACTTAAAACCATGTACAGTAAAGCTATCAGTGTGCAACATAATTCATTTGATACATTTCTATGGTAAAATCAATACCTAGTACATATTTCACCTCTCGACATCTGTACGTATAGATGGGAACAATGATGAATGACAAAGTTCACAACCTAATCAACCAATACAGGAAATAATTAACTTAACACTTCAGACTTTAAAATCGATCAGTAAACACCAAGACGTAATAATAGTACAAGAATATGATTGAATGAATATGAATGTTTGAGAATAAATCATAGTCACATAGTTAACCGCAAGGGAAGAGGCCAAGTTAAGCCAGATACTCCCAGCTTCTGAATATAGTAAGTTAGGTGGAAAATTCTTTTTGAATTTAGTAAGGTATGGGAGAACGAGGAAAGGTCCGAAGAAAAATACACGCCAAGATAAATCACACTCCTAGTATTCTTTAATACACAGGCATCAACGGAACAAAAATCATGAGACTTAAGCAGTTTGCATGAGTTTTGTTCGCGTCTGAAATTAAAGTTCATAGTCTGGTATCTTGAAAAATTAAGCACAAGACCATTCACGGAGGACTGTCGTCCAATAGTAGATAGAAAATCGTTCAGTTTGGAAAAATCCGTTGAAGGGGAGACAGAAATAGAAACTATCAGGTCATCAGCACATTTTACAAAACTTAGACTAGCTAAAGATGAATCATACGGAAAGAAAGAGAAAAGACTAGGGGGAAAGAAAAGCACCTTGCGGAACAATAGCTTCAGTAAGTAATAAGGCGGAGCGCCTTTCTTTTTGAACAATGTGTTGTTTCCTTTCAGAGAAGTAGGAATACAGCCAGTTGATTATCTATGACTCAGTATGTTTTCCGGATAGTCTGTCTATCAAAAGAAGTCTTGGGACAGAATCAACTCCTAAAGTATTATCTAAAATGGAACACCTCCATTGGCATTGACATTTCTATGAAGATCATAAGCAATATTATGATTTTAAGTTAATGGTGGCATGCAGAGTGGGTCTTTCAGTTTTATATGCAAATTGATTAGGATCTTGGAAAAAACCTTCAATGAGTGTTCAAGCACACGTGTTATTAGCTTCTCCATTATTTTCAAGAACGGAGGGGTAACTGAAATTGAATGGAATTTCGGCATGCACCTGTAGTTTCTGACTTAGGTACGGGGACTATCTTAATGTCTTTCCAGGAAGCTGGTATAGTATTTTCCTAAAACGGTCTGTTAAGCATGTTATTTAGTGGATGACGTAATATATGAGCACACTTTGTAAATATGAAACGTGACATGCCACCCGGACTCAAACTGTAAAAGGTTCAAGGACTTCAGACACTCGATTTTTTTCTCGATAAATTTAGGATGACATTCTTCATTGAAACTGGGCAGACAGAATGGGATGAGATAGTTGGGTCGGCTAAGGCAAGCAGTCAGTGACTTCATGAGCGAGTGCAATGTCTTATTCTTGTCACCTAATCATACTTCGGTTATTGTTACCTGTCGAGTTAGACATTGACTCGGATTAATAAATATTAGACTACGGGAGTGCTTCTCATAACTATCACACTTTCTTGCAAAACTGTTATTACTGCTTCGTAAGTAATCTTGTAATTTATCCTATTTTATGTCTTGTATGAAGGTGGGATCTTTTTGTAGTATACTCAGTGGTTCTAGTGAATTCATTCGTATTCCTGAGCTTTATATTACCTCACATTTGTTTGGATTTATTTTATTTATATCTTTTTACCGATAAGTTGATCATCACAGACAGATTGCAAATAGTAGTAGTCACTTTATTCCAGAAAATTACGATACAGTTTGGAATTCTTAGTATGTAATATTGCAACAAAAATGTTCTCCTGTGCAACATTTCGAATGGTATTAAATATACCAATTTAAATTATATAAATAATGCTAGTAACTAGGACAGTTATACATGAATGGGTGAAATATTCAAAGGACTGATTCACATAAGATGTGTGCTAGATAAGACACAGTTGGATTTAAAGTAATTCGTTCTTGTCCTTCCTGAGGAACTACAAGAAGAGAGCTATGAATAAGAAGAATGCTAAGTATCCAATAAAATAATTTTGGGTAGTTGCCTTCATGAATTCAAATGTCTGTTAGCTACATCTCCACACTCGACTAAGAGCAACAGTCAGAGACTTCATGAACTAAAATTAAGCAGAATAACACTTAAAAGACTAAAATATCTCAACGGTTCAGGAATGTACAATATCTTCGCCTTACTACTTTTATTGTGTGTGTTACTTCGCTACACCTACTTAAGCTTCGACAATTAGGTAGTATTATAAGCCCTTACATATAAGATGTAACTAAGTACACAAACCTGTACTTTGTTGATGAGTTGCGAAATTTTTGTAATTACTCATCAACAGATATTCAGGTTATTACACTGCTGAATATCACAAGAAAATGAATCATGCAAGAAAAATAAAGGTGAGAAACTGTTATTAGAACGTTATATAGAAAACAGACTATTTTTCGAAGCAGCAGGTGATGTACACTTGCCAATACGTTGCTGTCAATCATTATTGGATGTATCTCCAGATTTTTCTACACTTAGAATTTCATTCTGTCTCGAAATACTAGCTTGGAAGGCTATTAGTGTTTTATTATTCATGATCAAAGACTTTTTTCTTTGCTTTTCTCGCATCTTGATTCTTTCGACCGTAAAATTGTTCACAAACATCGTGTAGTAATATAGTACAAAGCAAACAACAAGTGTACTCAAAGTAATTTGAGTAGACTGTGGTTGGTATTGAGTGTTAACTTCTTTTTAGTACTTCACTATTCTGCACAGACCAATACTGTGGCTTAGTGGTTTAGAGAGATGTCTGTCATACATTTGGTCACGGGTCCGAGACCTGCTCCACATACCGAGGTTTCGGTAGCTAGGTAGTACCACTATACCCTCACACATTAGGTGTGGCCCATTGTCTACAGACTAGTGCTTCAAATAAGTAGACGTTAAATACCGGCGAATTCTTCCTATCACTAGCTTTCATTAGCGTGAATTAACATCTGCGGGATAAGGAGTGATTTTTTGGGGGAGTGCGACATAAATTCTCTATCAATGAAGAGGTGTTCTCCTTAAGATGTGACTCTATGTCTTTATATGAAGGGTCTATACCACATGTTTAAGGTAGCAGTAGTAGAATATGCAAAATCATGTTTATCCACCTCCTTTCTTCTGTGGTTACGGGGACCACTCTCCCTACAGTGAGCAACAGAAAAAACGTCTTTTTTTCTAATATATGTTACACATCGTTGCATTGAGCTCTTTTCATCATGAGTCTCGGTATCGACTTTTGGCTATGTCATGGCATTTAAATTCTCTGAAATGATATTCCAAAGGACTTTCTTATACATTTTGTAACTAAAATAAGTCGCATCGCTTGATTATATGCGGTACCAATGCCACTTATGTATTTCTCCCTCTCTTCTTCTTTTCAATGGGAAGCTAGTGAAATCTCTGATTATGTTGGATGAATTATGAAGGTTGATTTGTCTCTCTGTCCCTATTCGAGTCGATGAACATCAACTTGTGTGGTATAGAGATTAGTAAGCAGGCTTATGACGAAAAACAACCTTTGTTTAAAGGATTATTTACTTGAAAAAGAATGAGGTTACTAATTATCAAGATATGTTGTAATTTTTGAAAGTTGACAGTTTTATTTGTATGTGTATGGGTGTGTATATGTTTGTTCTTGTGATTCAGTTGAATCGGAAATCGGCGAAGACAACTACAGTAACACCACTCAGGTAAGGGTGAATTCAGGTTGTTCTGTCTATTTGCTAGTTAGTTTGCATGATAAATTTTTTTAATAAAGTGTGAACGATTTAATCCCATTTATGTAGGAGGATTGTTACTAGTAAAGGCAATGAAAATATACTTGATTAGATAGGTGAACTGGAAAGCCTTCTATGTTGTACGAATTCAAATTTAGTTACTAGTTGAATTTTCTAGTTCATTTGTATGAAGCAGACGAATAGATCACCGGGTCGTTTTCATTACCATTATTAGACCTTATTACTGCAATCTACAAAGTCCAAGCTATCCTGGGTAAAATGGAAAAATTCAATAAAGTGGTCTTGTTTTTCGAGCATC